TGGGCACCGTTAGTCACACGTTAAATGTCGAGCCGATATTCAATTTCACGCTAGGTTTTCCTCAACATGTCGGCAGTAACTGGTAAATGCATCATAGATTCGACGCCTGAGTTCAGTAATATCTGACTCTTCGGTTCTGGAGACGAAGGCCTTGACATACCCCTACAAAATAAAGCAAATGTGGTGATGTCAAGTCATCACGGCGGCCAAGGGATAGGCCCACCTCTTCCATCTGGGAACCTGGACATTTCTGGTCCAGCAATGTTAGTACGTCCATCACATGGATATCAAATAGATCGGAAGTGATTAATTGGACCCAGAACTACCATTCTGGGTCCAATGGACCACGATACAAAAATTTAACCATACAAGGGTAATTAAAAAAGAAGGTAACACTTTCACATGTTTATAATGAAGTAACCAGTGAGCCTACAATGACGTGATATGTATCAATTGTTAGGAAAACTCTCAAAGTTTGTTTGTAATTGACGCGGGAAAGTGTTTCGCGCTTGCGCTGCCAGGGGAGACCGTATTGCAAAAATGGCGACTCCACAACAAAATTCTCGAAATCGGTTCACATTCTCTTCCGATACACAAGGTCGACCCGTGCTTTTCCCTTTGCAGATACAACCTTTACCTTCAAACTGCTGACACCAACTGTAAATGGTCTTCCTAGCTGGTGGATCAATTCCGAAACATGTGTGGAACAGCCGTTGCACAGTTGTTACAGAGTTGGCCTTTGCAAACTGCAGGACACAACGCCTTTTGTTGTGGAGTCGCCATTTTTGCAACACGATCTCCCCTGGCGGCACAAGCACGAAACACATTTCCGCGTCAATTACAAACAAACTTTGAGAGTTTTCCTAACAATTGATACATATCACGCCATTGTAGGCTCACTGGTTACTTCATTATAAACATGTGAAATTGTTACCTTCTCTTTGAATTACCCTGTATACGTAGGCTATGCCGTTAACTTGGAAAACCGATACTCCGTGTATTTTCATGAAGACACGTGATAGTAAGTAGGAAAAGTATTTTGAAGAGATTCATTAGGAATGAAGAGATGAAACAGAGTTAAACATATCCGGGTTCTGTTAGCTCCAGGGTTAAGCCTCAAGTGAAATTTAAGTTGCAGATTGTTGAACGCTTTAAAGGAAGATGTAGTACCTACCCCTTCCGTGCTTAGCTCTAAGAAGAAGTTAATTATTTCATGGACAAAGAAGGGACTGATATAGCTGTGACTAGGTCATGGACGACCTGCAGACGCTCTTAAATATGAATGGAATGGAATTAGAATGATAGCCATACTTTGAAAGAGGACTTAACCTCGACCCGAGAAGTCAATTGAACAGAAACTCCTCTTCAGGTCCCAGCACAAACCTTGAACCTTGAACTCAATCCTCAATAATAAAAAATATAAGGAAACAGATTTTTCTACATCTGAAGAGGGAGACATCAGCATGTCACGAATGAGAATGACAGAAATTTTCCCATGTTGAGTTGCAGGGTTTGAAAACCATGCCAAGGAATTTTTTTGTGAAGAAAAATGGATGAAAACCAGGCGGTTTTCGAATCTGGAAAGAGCTTCAAGAACCGATAGTACGCAGTAAAAGCCTCATACAGGCATGGCTGATATTGATAATATGGGTATAATGGTATGTGGGAATTGTAATGGAAGCATTCTATTTTGCATCCACACGTCTTCTGCATTCCCTTATGGCAGGGGTCTCAAACTTGTTTCGGTGTGCCAAGATCGGACCTCTTTGCAGGCAAAAAAAAAGCAAAAACGTAAATGAATTATCTACCACTACTTTATGTATGGACGGCTTGAAACGTTTCTCTCGGCGTACGCAGGTGGGTCGCGGGCCGCTAGTTTGGGACTAGGGTTGCTACCTTTGAAATTAACAAAAGATGGACATATGAGCTATGGACATAAAGAAATATGGACAAATATTCCAAGTACAATTGTATGTGTGGCTCTGCTGTAAATACCTTCAGCCACCTTTAGCCGAGGCACCAATCAATACTATAAGAGCGCGGTCTACGACTCTAGACTCGCATAAAATAATGGTTTTAGCCGCTATCAAGCTTTCTTAACGAAACAAATCTTAGCAAGTTCAAAGTATGGACGAAGCAGTGTATATATAAAGACAAGTTTGCAGTATGGACATTGCATCTGAAATAAGTACTGTCCATAGTAATTATGAACGGGTGGCAACTCCATTTGGGACCCCTGTCCTAAGGTCTACTGGGAACGAATGAGTGATGGTTGGGAACAGAGAGAAAGAGAAGCGCAGCGCGACTGATATGGAAGGCATCCGGCAGCACTGATCCCATCCAGTACCTCCAGTCAGGTATGAAAATAGGCTGAGAAGAGGGCGGATACGAAGAAGGGAGCAGAGGCCAGAGAAGGGAGAGAGAAGGGGGGGGGAGAGAGGGGGAGCCCCATAGAGGATTGTCTTCCCCGGATTCCTGCCTGCTCTAGCTGCCTCGCTCATTCGGTTCATACCTGAGTGCGTGAGGTGCACGTGCAACTACGGCTGTGCCTGTGCGTGATGTTGGAACTCCTCCAGTGTTGTCTCTCTCGCTTCAGTCTCGGATGCATTTCCCCTTCGCATGAGTCACGGTGTTATGGGCCATTGCCGTTTCCCTTCTCCTTCTGGCCTTTGTTAGACCTATTCACCTGAGAAAGGAAGGAGACTTGGATGCGTGCTCGGGCCATTCATGCTTTCTTTCCATCCCTGTCCTCTCCATAAGTCCAGGCCTTGGCCTAGGCCTCGCATATGTGCAGTGCAGGGAGGAGACAGGAGGAAAATCCCCCGGAGGCATACGATTGCATGAGTGCGTGAAAGCCTGTGCCGTGGACCTCTCCCGGTGACTCATGTCCTCCGCACCAGGCAGCATTATCGTTATTCCATCTCACGCCCCAATCCCCCATTAATTGAAAGTTCTGCATGGTCACGTGTGGTTTATAGTGAAGAATGTGCAGAACGCTTGTGTGTTCAGGTAGGCCTGGAGAGGTTAAGCCATGTGAGGTAGGAAGCAGTTTTCCTCCCACAATGAGAAAAACGTGCATGTGAAGACGGACGTAACCAGAAATTCTTTTCCTGCGGGGGGCCTCGAACTCAGGTCCTGCACTGATAACCAATGGCAAGCCGGATTTAAAGCATCACGATGGGCGATGCGAACTCGCGTGCAGAGAATGAGTATTAAATGGAAACTTTCACGAGAAGGAGGAGGGGGTAGCAGGTAGATGATCCTTTTTTTCTTTTCACTCCATCTGATATTTGATCGTAAGGCTGATTATTTTCACCCGCCAAATGTACTCGCGTGGCGCGTGGGAATTTTTCAGGCGTGACATAGACAGCTTGCACCAATTATTGGCAAATGAGAACCTACACCTGCAAGTTATAAGAGCTTAAGTGGCTGGACTGGTGACCTATGCAAGTGTCTTCCCGTGTCACATCTGTTTATCCCCTCCTCCCTCTGGGGAGGCTAAGCGCAGTCAATTCTCATTTGACGAGGGGAAGCTGTAAAGCTTTCGGATTTGAAAAATTGTCACATATACTACACGTTAGTCCTTTACGTCACGCCCACTTCTTCATTATCTCTCTTATACTAATTCCGTCGCTCCACCGGATTAAGGATTCCGACAGTGAAGCTATTCTTCAGGAGTAACTCACTCTCTGGCTTATGCTTGGCCGATTCTTGATCCATAATTATAAGTGTGAATACCTAGATCATCAGTAATGCAATGTAATAGTTGCCAACTATCAAAGAGCAAGCTCAAGCCAAATTGAAAAAGAGATGACTTCATCCAAGGGTATGGTGCTGCAGCAGGACCTAGGCAGCCCAAGACCTCGGCTGGGAATTAAATGTCCAACTCACAGGTCAGATATTGCTCCATTTCTTCGAAAAATGTATTGGATGTGAAGAAATATGGATCAAGGATTGACCTTGCATCAGTCATAGTCCAGTGGGTGAAAGCAACTCCTGAAGAACGGTTTCCTGCTGGCATTAAAAAACCGGTGAAGCAAATGAAACAAATCGGAATGGAAGCAATGTGGTGGATCAATTTATTGGTTAAAAGTGATGTTGAGAAGGCGGAAGTGGAGAAAAAGTCAGTAGTATGTGAGAAAATCCAGTAACATTTCAACCCATCAGGGTTGAAGCATTTCTTTCCATCAGGGGGCAGTGGTGGATCCAAGGGGGGAGGGCTACTGCCCCTCCTATGGCCAGGCTTTCATTCAATTTTTTTAATTTAAAAAACATCTGCATTAATTTATTTATTGAGATCTGTGAAATAGTTATCCAGGTTTTTACCCCAGATGAAAAATGGAAAAGGCGGTAAGACGGGGAGTGGTAGTAGGTGGGGGATGATAGGAACTAGCGAACCGTTCCCCCCCCCCCCCCCGCTATGTGACTTAAAATTTGTATCATCCTAAGTGATAAAAATTTGCCAAAATGTAAAGATACGAAGCTTGGAACTTCAGTTTCCCATTTCACTTGTTTCTTGAGAATTTAATTCTAATCTGGAATAATAAAATCAATATTCATGTTGTTTCCCCAAACAAAAAGGGACATGTGGGGGTAATCCTAATGTGTGGAAATGAAAGCTAGCGAGTGATGGCTGACCGGACTAATTAACTAACAGAGTGTTGCCTCAAGGCTATTGCAGAAGTTTTAGGATACTGGCAGTGTCATGGATAATTCTCAATGGACCTTGAATAACAGTGACCAGTGAAGAAGTCAATGTTGATTTGATGGTAAAATTCAGTCTCAGATCTCATCAAATCAGGTCAAAGAATGTTAGCAAGACTCCAAAAACTCAGCAAGGATGACCTATAATGCCAGGTCACCCTGTAGATATAGCAGTATGATACTGATGTGAGTGGTCAATAATTCTCATGTTCCTTGGGAATAGAATCATTAAATAAAAGTTCTCAATTCATGGTTATTTTTATCCTCTTGCCTTCTCGGCAGAAATACAGGATCCATCCGTGTTTGTTCAGTTTTTCAGATGAATCTCGAAGGGAAGGAGAAGAAAAGTGTGGTTGTTGACGGGTAAAACGTGAAAGTAACAGCGATGTGGGATATGTTGCCATGACGTGAACAACGTCTTTCCCGATTGCCGTATTCCACTTGATTTGTGAAGAATCATGGAGGGACGGACGGTGTTTCTCATAGGGGTTATATGCCTGGTTCTCGGGGCATGGGGGAAGAGTTTGAATGACAGCACAGGATGCCCCGAAGAACTGAAAGGAAGATGTCGATGTGGACTGCACGCCCTGGAACGTATCTACCCTGAACTTAATCCAGGGTAAAATCCCGCTTTTTTACTTTATCGATACGACAATTACATGATTTTTCATCACCATCCTCCCTTCCCTTGCATTTTGGAGTCTTATCCTGACATCTCTTTTATCGAAAACGAGGCACACTGTGCAGTGATCTTCTAAGCTGTTTGTGATTTTCTTGTCAACGCAAAAATTTTATCGACATTTCCGAAGAAGCTAATTTGCATGTAGGTGATGCCGAACGGTATCATTTGGCGACAGCAAATCCCAAACTTTTTGTTATTTACATTTTTTCTATTATTGACATTTTTGCGTGGGTCTATATTCTCCACGTTAAAAATTACAGAGATCTTCACGAGATGCTTTTCAATCTGCAAGCCTGTGATAGCAAAAAAGTAAGGGAAAGTGTCCCGCGCCCATCCCAGACTGTGTTCGAAACCTTAAAATAATTTGCTGTCCTATTGCGATTTTAAGATAGGTTTGCCCTATCCCTTGAGACAGTCTTACGTTTGCAGCAAAATTGTTTCCTCCTCACCTGGGCCGGATGTAGAATTGTATGTGTATTCAAAATTCGAGTGCGAGTAGGACAAAGATCTTCAAATAACTTGGGTTTGTTATTTAATAAGAGTGACAAGTGTCCAAATTGCTTCATATCGCAGTTTTAACAATTATGTTGGTAAGGCGTAAGAATAGAACACCAAGGTCCATATATTTAACTCTTTATGGCAACGATAAGTTTAATTTTAAAATTTAACTTCAAGGTGGTGCGAGTAGAACAAATAGGTTCCAATGAGGCAAATTTTCCCCGTAATTTGCGCGATTTTAGTTTTATACTTGTCGATATAAATGGATTTATAAAAATGTTCTTAACTAATACTGATAATTTATTACATATATTGCATGAACTGCTTTACCATTAAAAAAATTCATTACATATAAGCTTAATATCATTGCTGTTTATTACATTTTCTCCGAATCAAATAGAATCTCCTCATGCGTTGGGTCGAGTAGCTCTATGCACCAAAGAAAGATACCTACTGAATGAGCGGCGACTCGTGGGTAAAGGATCAGTTGCTTCGACTGAGAAATCTCACGTCCATGTCATGTGTTCAAACTTAGAACATTAGGTTGCTGGTGGGACATTTGGAGCGCCGGGGAGGCATTTTTGAGGGGGATGAACACTTAGAAATGTTGGATGTATCTCAATACAAAGATAAGAAATATATACATAGGGCGTGCCTGCGCTTACTCTGATCATGATAACCGTCAACTTCAACCTTAAGCTCATTTGGAACGTAGCGTCTAGGCTGTCCTTTCTCGCTTCATTCCTTTAAAAAATGCACTCCAAGGGGATTCTTGGTTTTTGGGTTGGGCCTTTTCATTCCCTTTCTTTTTCCTTCCATGTTCTGCAGGAGCCCGATGTTCGTGACGAACTGCACGAACAGTCGATTTCAGGACCCGGATGTCTTGTCTTTCATCCCAACGGAGACAGAATATTTGATCTTCACCGGGAACGAGTTTCGGGAACTGCCGCCGAATGTTTTCGGCGAGGAAGACACCAACCTGAAGATCGTAGATCTCTCCGACAACCACATCACGGTCGGGACTCTCCTTCAGCTCTTCTCGTATTATATTTGATACATAATCAAAATGTATTATCCTAAAACATAAATGAATATTCTAATTTGGAATTCTCCCCGAAGTTCTTCGCCCAATCAAAAGATATACTAAAAGCGATGCTTCAGATTCAGGTATCTAGAACTGTCTTGCAACCCTGTCTTACTTTTTAGTTCTCGAGTCAAATAGAAAATTCTAATTTAAATTCTTGTGCACATATTTATGCATAATAATTAAATACTTACAGAGTATCCTGGGTCAGACGTTTCATCGCGTGAGGAACGTGCAGCGTTTGATCCTGGCTCACAATAATATCACGATCACGGGTGACGATGAGCACCATCGTCTCTTCTCCAACTTCTACAGCCTCAAGTATCTTCATCTCACGAATGCCTTCACAGAGGCCGAAGATTCCGAGAAATATTTCCTCAGCCTGGAACGAATCTTTGCGGGAAGTTCTTTGGATGAGCTGAAGATACTGCACCTGGAACAGAATGAGATCCATTCTTTCTCGAATGGAGGCGTCTTTTGTCACCTTCCATCCGTCGAAGAAATTTATCTCGGAGACAATTTGATCCGTAAGCTTAGTTTCAACGTTTCCTGCCTGACCAAGCTGCGGGTTTTGGACCTCCGACGGAACCTCATCGAGTTTCTGGATGAGGGGAGCAGGAAGCTCCTGGACGAAATTCCGTCCAAGAACTTCCAGGTGGATCTGGGCCTGAACCCTTTCCTCTGTGATTGTCACATCAAGGACACCTTGACGTGGATGAACGAGACGAAAGTGGTGTTGTTGGAAAGAAAGGACTATCGTTGCCGGGATGGCATTCCCAAGAGTAACATCAACAAGACCCTGGATGAAATCCGTGAAATGCAGTGCTTCAGCGCATCGCCCCAGTCAGTGAATGCTGGTACTTCTATCCTCAGTGTCCTTTTCGTCCTTATTGCCCTTTTCCTAGCCGTCGCCCTCATCTTCACCTATCGGAATTCCATTAGAAGGACACTCTTACCCTATGTGGAACACCTGAGTCGGAAAATCCAGTACACGACACTCAGGGAACCGGAACCCGATCACCTTTGATCCTTCTCTCTTTCCTTGGTGGAAACGGGGAAGACTTGCAAGAAATCCACGGTCCCTCCCCCTCCCCCGAAGACTTTTCATCCCTTTTTCAGTCCGTCCTCTTGACTACAGTGAAAAGTATCTTTGTTGAACACAAAGACAGTATGAAACATAAGAATGGATTGCTTATTAGTCAGCAGATGCAGTTTTATATGTTAATTTTTTTTGTAAAATAAAAATATTATAATATCGTGAAGATACATTCATCACGAGACATAACTACAGATAAGAAAAGGGTGACAGTTGTGTTCCAGGGAATACCAGCCGCATTTTTAGCCTGAGAAGCTGAGAAGACGTGTAAAAGACAACGTTTATGTTATCTTGACGTGAGCTGAAAGAAACGATGTGCTGGCTTTCTTTCATCAGGTTACATAGAACATGAATCGAAATAGTTGATTGTGTTTAAAACGGGGAGGGACGAGTGGAAAGGGGGCCCTCACGTAAATATTTGCCTCGGGCCCCACAATTCCTTTCAGCGGCCATGGGTATTTGTTACGGCAAGGAAGGTTTGATCTCGGAATCGGTGATCTCTCTGAGTTTGTGGTTCTTTTTACACGTAATGTTAGCTGCGGGCTCTTGGTAAACCAAGAAGGAATATGCTATTTCTTTGATGGATGTTCTTCTATGGATGCTAGATCTGTGGCGAGAGTGCTGCAAGGAATGCTACTTTTCTCGGAGAAGGCCATACGGACATTTTTTTGCCCTTGATATCTGATGCCATAACATTGGTTCTGTTTTCCTTGATCAATTGTTTAGTAAACTTTGTCAAGCGATAACAATAAGACACTGAGGACCGTCTGCACGAACAATGCTCAATTTAGACGTTGAATATCGATAATCATCGTTTAAACATTGTTTACGAAAACAACGATTAACCGCAGTCTGCTTTCGATTGCATTACGATCCTCGAGCCATGTTTTCATAAGCAATGGTCAGACGATGGCCAAGCGTCCCTCACGTATATAAAATATAAATCATGTTCTGATTTATTGGGTGTCGCGTAATACGCTGCAGACTCCGCGAAAAATGGGCGATCGGATGAAAAAGGAGAACTTGCGATTGATGAAAATTAGTTGGACATTCTGTTCGAATATGTCAGCCGATCGGTGGGTCGGCAGAACCTGCGAATCGAAAGGCTTTCATGGCATTCTTTTCACCTTTGGGTCATAATAATTACTCAGGGCTTGGCGGCCAAAGGGTTAATTTGGAATTCCCAAGAGAGGGGAAGGTGAGGATCGGGGGAACTTGTCCGAAGCAGATAAAGGAGCAACGTAATCCTTTACTTCACCTATTCGTATAGCCCCCGCTAATTTGTCAGTATTCAATTTACTCTCTTTTTCTGAGAAAACCATTTAAATCCTTGCACAATCTCACAGAAAGCATAGCACGAGAGAAAACCGCACATACTTCCTGAATCGGCGTGGATCAATCATCAATTTGTCATATTAGAATTCTGTGAGTTTCGAAAACTATTGGAAACGTGCAATATATCTTCAATGGACTTGGTGGCTTTTTTTTTTTACAGCAACATCAGCTGATTGTAAGTCCTGCAAATTGCATGTTCGGGAAACGGAACCAATATTCCAATGCAAAAACCTAGCATGTCGAGAAAAAAGACTGAGAAGCACTTTCTTGCTCTCGGGGAGAGAGAATGTACGTGACCGTAGAAGTCATGGTACATTAATCGACTTAATTCTTCTGCAGAGAAGTAGGGCTGTGTAAAAAAGATAGTTTAAACTTCGTATTCTGGAGCATTTCCAGAAAGTCCAGATTTCGTTGTCGCATGGAAAGGCGGAATTCGTTCTGCTCCTTGGTTGCATCGAGAGACAAAGCAAGTGCGCGACTCCTGCAGAGAGATGCTGCTTCAAGATAATTAGTAGGATACAACCTATCCATCTTTAATCTAGCATTTCCATTTTGGAAGAGGTGTGAGGAATACCTCTGCCTACTTATCAGGGGGAACTTAGCAAGATGAATTTCAATATATACTCTGAAAAATAGAGGAACTAGATCTTGATATTTCATCGGCACCGTCAGTTTCTTCATTCGCCCAGGCGACATTCTGTCGGGTTGAACAAACGCTGTCAACTTCGAGTTGAAAGTTGACAGCGTTTCTGAGTCCATCTCATGGACATTTTTGATCGCCTGGACGGTACTTCGTTTTGGTGTCTCCTATCCGCAGAGTATTCGCTCTGCCGTCTGGCGCTGTAACAGATACCTAATGAACTAATGAGCTCTGAAAAATTGGATTGAAGGGCTGTAAATAAAAATCATGCTAACACGTGTCGACGCACCTTCCAGATACATTGCTACCATATCCAGATAGTATCACAACATCGTTAAGTCAGAGAATGAGAGTTAATTATGACGTACCAACCATGAAAAAATTTACCTTTCTAGTTTTATTTTTTCCAGCAAGGTTGACAGTTGATGGAATTGCCTTATCCTACAGTATACCCCATGGCTTATGAACCAAAACATCCAAGAGCTACGGAGCATTTGTTACACCTACGTTCAACAGCGGGAGTCCCTGCAGAAGGAAAGAATGCCAATTCATTAAAACTATGGAGACGGAAGCTTTTATTCCAGGAATCTTTGACAGTCCATCGTTTTGATTATGTCTGCCCAGAGGACCTGAAGAAGGCTGAATGTGCTCTGCTCGACGCTCGGAGGAGCCGGCCGGAGAAACTGTGACTAGAGTATTTGAAGACTTCATATTTTTGGCACATTGATGATGCAATTTGGCACATGGACTCGGTCGAATAGTGGAGGAAGTCAAGAGCGACTGGGATTGGAGTCCTCGAGGCCTGGGTGACGGGATGAAAGGTGACGCTCCAGGTCTCTCCGTCGCACTAACACCTTCCCACAGTGCTCACATCTGCAGTCCACAAAAATATACATTACTATCAAAGGAGTCTAATTTCGGGAATTTTTCATTTATAACTGGCACAATGCAATGCTCTCTTTTTTATATTTATTGCCAAGATACTGCTTCCTATAGATGGAAAAATGTTTTACTGTGGCTGATACTAGGGAAAATTCTCTTCCGCTTTCGTTGTTATCGATATGTTAGTGCACAAGATTTAGGGTGGATTTTTGAACAAAGCATTATTCGATAATGCTGCTTTATTTCAGAGAAAATGCATTGTAAATCCGGTAAATAAAGCTGCATTATGGGATAGTTCTCTGTTCAAAAATCCACCCGTAGGGTTTTCAACGGGTTCGGCTTGCAGTAAGGGAGAAATGGGCAGAATCAATGCCGATGGGTGATGCCGAGAATGGGTAAAATCAATATCTACCCTTCTGGAAAACATCGTTTACAGTCGATTGCGACATTTCACAGAATATTCTGCTGCTTTCTTGCATTGAAGGGTCAGGCGTCGGAAAGGGATCAAAAGCTGCGTCGAGAACGCACAGTTAAAAGTTGGCTCATGTTTTCTGCTATTTTTTTCAAAACGAGAAGAATCAACAAATTTTGTCGTTACTTGTTGTTACTCACATGTAGCACATATCGGAGTTTTTATTCACAAGCCTGGGCATTTTCGTTCGATAAAAGATTTGCTCACAATTTCGGCCAACGACAGAGTAATGTGTGCGATTATGTGAGGAGCCGGTGGAATAGCCATCCCTCCCAAGAGGACCCTGTCTCCAAGTTTCTTTCTTAAATTCTCCTTCCCTTTTTCCTACAAGACGTCAGAGATCGTCAGAGGAAACTCCTCCTAGGCTCAACGACTACCTGGATACGTGCTGATCGGAACGGGATGTCTATTTCACAGACTCATGTTCTCCTGTGCTATTCATCGACAATTTGCACCACCCATATTTGGAGGTCCAAAATATCAGTTTCTCTGGGTGCCAGTGATAAACTTCTCAGCGAGACATGGTGGTAAAAGACTTTACAGTGTGGTATTGTGAATCTCCGAACTGAAGGGGCGATCATTTTGAGCGTGCACTCTGAGCATATCAATGCTTTGAGTCTATACACTTTTGGTATTCGAATATAAGTTCCAGGTCTACCATATGTATGCTCAAACCAAGTTCGTGTCGATTAAGTGAAAGCTGAAGAAATTGGCACCCATCGCAGTGAGTCAGCAGGTTTTTTCTTCAGACAAATCGTACCTCGTGGAAGATTTCAAATTGACAGTTGTGTCCGAATCACGTCCGAATCACTCTTTCTCTTTAGAGACGACAATAGCGCGATTTATTGATAAGCAGAAATCAGGAGATTCTCTGCAAATATTTTATATAACGGGAAAACCTGTCATCTACCGAGGCTGAAAACGGGATATATGTTGAACTACTACCCATGCCAAAAAACATGACTGGTATGAAATATTTGAGTGAAATGAGACTTCGTGTATCATCATTCGATGCTCGATTTTCTGCGTTTCCTTCCGTCCCCATTAGGACAATGTCCAGATGCTAACCTGTAAGGGTTATTCCCTTGAGCATGGAGGCGGACATGTTTGTTCAAGTTGCTGGGATCGCCAAAAGGTCGACGGCAGACGTTGCACTGCAACGGCTTGTATCCTGTGTGAGTCCTAAATCCAGGTGGAAGGCAGAATTGCAAAACCAAAAAATTATGGAGACTGTTGAGACGCGTACGAACTTCTAAAGCCTCATTCTCACCTGATGTGGATCTTCAGACCATATTTCCGGGAATACACCTTCCCACAGAAGGGACATACGTGTCCTCTCCTGGGATTCACGGATGGACTCCGATTGGGGGGATCCGATTCGGACGGAGAAGGAGAATGCGTGAAGCTGGCATAGAAAGTGTCAGGAACGGGAGGCTCCACACGGAGACGGAACAGAGATCCCAAGTTCAACGTGTTACACTTCGTCCCCAAATGCAGTTTCAGGGGATTCGGAGACGCGTATCTCACTCCACATTCGTGGCACACGTAACTGCTCTCACCTGCATTCCAACATGTCAAGCCTCATTTTTCGTGAAATAATTTCTAGTCGACTCTTTCCATGAGGTCTCTGAGAAGCCCAAGAATGCACTACTTACGATAAAAACAAGAGCCCAATAGAGCCTTGCGAAAAAGGTTGGGCTTTGCACCTCGTGGCTCATAGCATACTGTACAATGAGTAGGTTCCAAATCATCTGAGATTTGGACACGCACACCTTCCCGCAGTAGCCACATTTGGAAGAAACGAAGGTACCTTTTATATTTTGTAGGGAAAGGAATGGGATGTGGAGATCAGCTGCGAGGTCATCGTTGAACCAGGCCAAGAGATCTTGATCCAAGGTCAACGGTCGTGTGAGGGTGAGTCGGACGTGACCGGGCGTCTCGCCTCTCGATAGGAGGGAATTTTGCTCGTGACAATCCCTGGCTAAGTTCAACCGTCCCCGTCTCTCCTCTTCATTCCCTTCCTGCAGCATCTGTAACAGCATGAACTCCCAACATCATCCCCGAACCATAACGCTGGAGTTGGAATAGCACTTTCACTTTCACTTTCCATTAGCATAGGATGGCTTAAAATGGGTTCAAGAATGATCTTCCAGTAATTTGAAGTAACCTCGCCCCAGCCCCAATTTACTGCGTGGTATTGCGGTAATTAATAGCCATAATTAAGACCGAAATTAACCACAAAAAGGTGAGCCTTGAAGTTTCCGCTTTTCATAATTTTCAGGGAGGATATTGGAAAGTATTTGGTACCCCTTATAGGTACTACTAAGGGGAAGGATTATTTTGCGTGCGCATTTGTTCCCTGCAAGCTCTCCTTCCTTTCATCAGTTTTTATAGGTGTCAGGATCATCCTCAGCCCTCCGGCCTCGCCCAGATAGAGACCAAAATAAAGAAGACTTAAATAGAACCTATCAAGCACCAAAGTGGATTTCACGAAAAAGAATATTTGAGATTTTTAGAGAGGTTAAGATGAAAAGATGAGAAGATGAAAAAAGACAAATGGGAGTTTTTGTTATTGGTGCAACACCCAATCCCCAGGAGAGTGAAAAAAACCTGGATGTGGCCACGAGACGAGTCCCCCTCACCCTTTTCCTCACTACAACTTTCCTTCTGAATGCTTGTGCATACGGTTTAGACCTAAAATTCTGAGCAGAATGCTTTCTGCAAGATTTTTCTTTCAATCAATTTTTGTTCTTGAAATTTTCATAGATATCATGCATCTCCCTTGACCGACAGATACCTTCGCCTAAGTAATGGAGTAACAGAGCCACAATAAAGTTTAGCTAAAGTATAATCGTTCAAAGTTTCTCGTTGCAAACCTATTTCTGGGAGCTTAGCTGTTTGAAGTGCCCATTTTCCTGCATCCTATCAGAGACTTGCTGTGCTGCTCTTTCATGCTCGAATTCATTTGAGAAGGCTGACGTGACAAGGACAAGGTGAGAAGGCTGAATATCGTAGAGTAGGGCCCGAATGGACCTAAGTCTACGCATGGGCCCTAACAGGTTCAGGAATCTAGACCGAGTCATTGGTATTGCGGCTTGGCCAAAGCCGTCAGTGGGCGAGGCCAGGGCGAGGCCATCGAGTCACGGCCCCACAGATTGTGGCTCTCTTCAGGCTTCTAGAGAGCAGGTGAGTCCCATTTGCTTTAGTACCTCCACGCTTAGATTAAAAGAAATCAATCATAACGTTTTGGTTTGCTAATACGCTCCCTACCAGACGTATGTTTGGACGGTATATGCCAGACGGTATACGCTAGTAGACTTCATGGATTAAGTTCCAAGTTTCAAGTAGTGGTTCTATAGCGGTCATTAAGGAAGCACAACTAAGGACGCAGTAAATAAATGAAATGGATTAACTGGTAAATAATAGGTTAAGGATTAACTGGACTAATCCAGAATATAACCAGACTAAGTACCAACTGGGCTGAGCATAGTAAATATTTTGTAAAATGGGACACTTGAAATGTTGGGACAGTTTAGAAATATTCTGACTAGCAGATTAATGTTAGTGAAATTAAAACTCTTTTCCTTGCAGTCCTATGAGTTGGAAGCATTCATTGGATTGGCCTGGTATTCGACTTCCAGTAGTAGAATTAAATTGCAAGTAGCAATCAGTTTCAAGTCTTCCCATCATTCCAAGTCATTCCACTTTACTGTACCTTGTACCACTTCAGCAATTATTGTATTCGAAAGCGGATTCATGCTGATTCCATTCCTAGAAATTTGGTTGAGGGAAGGAGAATATTGTCAAGGAAGCAATGAAGCGATACATGATGGCAGCAATATTCCGAGTCGTCGAAAACTTGCATACCGGGTTACGACGCCCTGGAATTTGGACATTTTCAAGGCAGTCCCGTATTGGAAGTAAAATGCTAAGGCTTATGAGCGTTGAGAAACACGAGTAGCCAGAATTTAAGTCATCAGTTACCTGTGTCACACTACAGTATACCATACATATCTATCTGCGGTATGCCTCCGATTGCATGCAAAGTTTCACCCCCAAAAAGACCTCAAAGAGGTCGGGAAAAAATACGGTGCAGAGGGAATATGGAAAAGATATGCATTATTTCCCTGGAATCCTTTTTCTTTTGAGGAGTGGAAGGAAAGACGGTGCCGAACTTCACCTGGAGATGACGAGACGGTTCATCGGAAGGACTTGGAAAAGTCAAATGGAAACAGGCTTCCATGGGAAGAGTCAGCGTGGTCACACTCGATCCAGACTGCCGCACCGGGGAAAAGGCAGACAACCGGTTCACGCCAACCCGAGGGTTCGCGTTCA